TTGTATCTATTAAGGATCGAGTATGATTTCCTCAAATTTCCTACCCCCCCCCCCACACCCCCAAAACCAAGAGGAAGATCCGATCCTCGAATTTCGACTCCCCCCCTCGATCCTCCAATTTAAAGGGGGGGCTATGCGCGAGGTTTGCGGCCGCTTCAGCCGAGCAATTCCAGCGACTCCAAGTCCTGCACGAGCAACTTCAAGTGTTTGATGCCGGATAAGAAAGCCGCCCCGCCCCGTCGAGCTTCGCGCAGGGCGTTGGCCACCCGAGCGAGTTGATGCCGTGGCCGCATATGACTTCCCTGTCAGCCGCGAGGCGATGCTCACTGCATGTGGCATGCACGGAGGCCTGTCTACCTCTGATGCGCCGGAGACCACTCACACCACATGACCCAATCGAAGGGCGGCGAATAAGGAGACCCCCTCAGGCCGGCACTCTTCTCGGCCGGCAAGTCCGACCTGAATAGCAATGGCGATCGCAACCGCGCTGTTTGGAAATCAGACCCCTCAATGCTTGGCTGGGGTCAGGAACCCATCTGGACCGGGGATTGGTCTCTGCCTAGCCATCGCCAAGGCCTTCTCGTTCTCGGCACGCCATTCGGTACTGACGTGTGCGTCCACAGCTTCCTCGCCGCGAGGTGGACGGAGCACGAACGCCTCCTCACCCGCATCCCCGACGCCCCCGACCTGCAAGCTGCGTGGCTGCTGCTGCACTCGTGCGCCGCTCCCCAGGCTAACTATCTCTTGCGGAATATCCCGCCCGCACTCACAATCCACTTCGCCGTGGACTGCGACGACGCTGTTGCGACTGGCTTGGGCTCCCCAATGCGCAGCTGCGATCAATTGCCAGCTGCCGCAGTACACCTCGCAGCTTGCCTTTGCCGCCAACCTCCTGCACACCGCACCCCCTGCCAGCGGCTCGACCCGGGAGCGAGATGCGGAACTGCATCAGGCATCCTGCCGGCCGCATTCCACAAACGAGTTTTGAAGGCATTCCAGCGCCATCGGGCCCTTTGCCACGTCAGCTCCGCGAGACGATGGTTCCGCAGTGCAACCCGGTCGGGTGAGGCAAGGACGTAAACATCGTCCCACTCCGCTAGCACTTGCTCAGTGGAAGGTTTTGTTATTTTCACGGACTGTTCCGCCTGCAGGAAAGTGTCACAACGCCAGCGCGCGGTCCCGGTTTGGGGCCGCAGAGTCAAGCGGCTAGGCCCTTTGTTGCCGGGAAGGTCGAGCACGGGAGGGCCGTCGCTCGGCCATGGCAGTGCACCAGGCCACGCGCGGCCCAAGGCTGTGCCCGCAACGGCGAGCTGGACCGCAACGGAAAGGGCTCCCCAGCCAGAGGACGCCCCGGCGCGCACTGCTAGCGGCGCGCGGAGAGCCCGGAGCCGGACGAGGTCGCGAACGAAACACTTGCGCCAAGTGTGCAGGGGGCATGGTCGTAGTCCTGTGTGTGGCACAGGGCTGTCGTAACACCACAAAAAGCTGGTGATGCAGATCCGATCGACAATTACACACCCATCAGCTGGCGATGCTCTAGCTTCAAGATGTTCGAACGAAGAATGTCAAGAGTTCCCTCCCCATGTCATGCTTCACATAGGTGACGGCCAGGCGGGCCGTCGAAAGAGCACTGAAGAGCATATTACCATTGCCGAGAACGCTTGGAATGAATGCTTGAAGAGATGCTGTGCTGGTCCATTTGGCACAACTTGGCACAAGCGGGCATCACGGGTGTGATGTGGAAGACTCTGCATGATCTGCTCACTGGGACGTCGGCTCGACTTCGATTAATGGTTGTCGGTCTGAACTATGGTAGGAAAGTGCTGGAGCGCGTCAAAGCCAACATTTTTGGGTGTGTTCGCTCAGCCTTGGACTAATTCTGACCAGCACCCAAAAGGCAGGCATGGGTCTCGGAAGCCTGGCCGTCCTTTTCCTGCGCATTGTTTGTTCCAGGGACTAACCCCCGTGTTGCAATCACCGGCGCTGCATGCACGACGTCATAGCCTGCGGGACGTCGGCCAATAATTGCCGCAGCTGAGTTCGCCGGCTGTGATGCGTTTTGTTTCTTCCAGGTTGAAGGCCGCGCGATGCTCGGTAGCTACAATACGGGCCTCGCACTTGGCAGCGGCTTCGCCTGGGATGACCGACAACCGCTGGAAGGCACGTCGTGATATAAGGATGGAATGTGTCGCATCTTGCTTTAGGCGATCCCCATATAGACTCTGTGTATGCCATGCCAGCGCAAATGCAGAAAAATCAGCAGCAACCTGGTGTTGCAGTGTGTCTTTTCCCGGCCCACTTGCCCAAGCGTGTGGACGCGGAGTGTTCTCCACGCTCATCAGAACCCCCATCACCGGCATGAGCGCACCCATGTGCATGGCTTTGCACACCGGCAGATAGTTCGCGTCCAAGCCCTTTTCGCCCCGCCAGCCTTGCGCGGCTGCTTCGAGTGCCTGGGTGCGATGGTGGTGGGGCATGCTATCGATCGCAGTGCAGCGCACCGTCGAGGTTACGGCACGGGGCGCCTCCTGGTTGCTCCTCTGCCGCTTTACGGAGCACGAACCGGCCCTCACTCGACGGCGACACGTTGCCAGGCACAAGCGGCCGTCGGCTGCCGCATTCCTTCACCAAGCCTAGGCACCGCCTCCCGTTACAAGCGGTGCAGACTCTCCTTCCCCCTATCTTTTCCGTGCTGGACACCCAAACGGCCGGCCTCCACGTCACCGTTTTTTTCTTGCAGCGCATGCCTCGGTGCCTTCTGCCTTGGCTTCATAGCCCCCGCCGGCACGGCCCAGGCACGAACGCCCGTGAGTCGGCCTTAAACAAACTTCCACGCCAATTTCTGTTGGCCGCGCCCAGAGGCCAGGCCGCTAGCGCACAACTCGCACTGCCTTCTCGTCGGGTACGAGCGGGAAGGGGCGACTGTAGGACTTCTGGTGCAGGAGAACATAGGTGAACTCTCCTCACGAGATTCTACGCCTCGGACAGCAGGTACGTGGGGCAGGACGCCAACGGGCAGTACCACGAGGTTTGGCAATCCGAAGGCGGCGAACAGGGCGACCCGCTTATAACTTATACCGGCCTTGTACGCCATCGCTCAACACCCAGCCCTCGCAGCGGTTGACGCGCAACTGCGTGAAGGCGAAGCCGTTTTTGCCTACTTTGACGACATTTATGTCGTCGCAGCTCCCAAGCGCATCCGGGAGTTGCAGGACGCCTGCCAACAGGCAATTCGCGAGCATGCGTGCATCGAGCTCAACCGTGGCAAAACCCGCATATGGAACGCAGCTGGAGCGAGGCCCGCGCGCATCCCCGACTTGCACGGCCCCGGCGAGGAACCCACCATGACAACTGTGTTTCTGATTTCAGTAATCAACGACCTGCGTTTTTTCCTTGGGGACCGTACCTCCTTGGAGCAGTCATCGCCACGCAAACCTGCTTCAAGCGCGCCTGTCAGTGGCAAGTCTAGCCGGCCGTTGTTACTGGCCGTGAACCTGCATGGCTTGGGTTCCGGCGCAACTGCCCACCACGTCGCCATGGGTCGCGGGCCCGCCGCATCAGCGAGGTCTAACACGTGGCCCAGCCACAGCTCTAACAATTGCCTCGCGTGGCGCAGTGCTGGCACCCGAAGTGAGTGACGGCCTGTTGGGCCAATACTACCAACATGGCAATAATAAGGAGTGCAATAAGGCCCACCAAGGCCTGCTTCACCTCCGAAGCCAGCCGGTAACGAACAAGGCCTCCGAGGGCAGCGGGTTCCGTTGCCATGGGGCGACGTCGCCGAGGCAGAATTGCTGAGTCTCCCAAAATGGCAGTGTCATGCACCTGAGCATAGGCAGCCGCACATGCAAGGGGACAGTCCGCAGCGCATTGTTAGCTTAGGCGCGGAGCACATCGCGAGGAGGAGCCCGCACTGCAAGTCGGGGAGCTGAGGCAGCGCAGAGGCTCCCATTCCATCCCTATCCAAACGTCCGCCCCGAGCACAGCCTTTACCCGCAAGGGCCGGTCCTTCGAATCTTTGCAAATGTACACGTGCGTCTTCCCCCGTTGAGAACAATGCCACATTCAGCTTGAACGACTTCGACTACTGTGTCGCGGGCGGCTCGTGCTCACTCGCTCGTGGTGGGGACATACAAGTCGTCGAAGCGCAGGCATGTGCAGGCTGCCTTCCGCAAGGCTTCCTTCACAAACATCCAAAAAAGATCACAAAAGTGTAGCGCGAGGGCACCTTGCTCACACCGTTCTCCCTGAACACTATCTACCACTACTCAATGGAAGGCTTCCCGAAGAAAAGCGGCAGGAAAAAGGGACTAGCTCGGACGCAGCTGGATAGAGTGCAGTGAGGAAAGAAACTCGAGACATGGTGTATCATGGTGTCGGCCGCTTCAGTGCCGTGCGCACACATGCTGCGCAGGTGTCCGTGCCCGCAGTGCTTGTAAAGCAGCCTGGTACGGCCGCGTCGCCTTTTCAAAAACCGTGGCCCAGTTGGCATCACGCCAGGGGACAAGGTAAGAACATTCTCGCGCAGCCTGCATCACGTAGAGAAACCACGGCATAGCCTCACGCTAGCTGGGTGGCCTCACGCTACGGAGCATTTGTGGCCACCGCTGCCCAGACTCAAGCACGCGCAACACACGCACCACAAGTCCCCAGTTTGGCATCTCGGGCCCACTGACACACATGACTCTGCCGCAGAGACCACGAGAGCACCCGGCATGTTTGCAGCGCGTAAAACGTAAGGTTATTCAGGTCTGGGCGGCACATAGCAGGCGTCAATCAAAGCCGGAGTCGCGGATGTGCTGTCGCGCCAGGACTGCAGCTCTTCCGGCGCAGTGTGCTGTGCATTGTTGCGCAAGCGAATACGAGCCAGTTATTACTTGATCGCCCTGCTCGCCACATTTGGGCCGACCGTTTTGTCGCACATGGGGCATCGTGGTGCCCACCCTGCCAGTTGTCCATGCGCATGCCCCCAGTGCTACACGTCCACAGCAGCAGGTCTGCTTGCCCAAGAGGCCGAATGTGCACAGCCCTGCAATGCAAGGTTTGCCAGTCTGGCGGTTAGTTGCTGTTTACGGGAGCGTGCGGAGAGACTGTTAAGGTCACTTGCACTAACCTTGTTGCTCGTTGGCTGGACTTTGCATGACCGTAACCGAAAGCCAAAGCCATCAGCTGGAAAGGGTGTAGGAGGGATGTACTTGTGACGTGAAATCGTGTTCAAGTATCTGGGAGGCCGTAAGTAGATTAAGGTTTGCCTCGTAACTATTTGTAGAGGTGCGAGACGCATATACGAGGTCGTCCTTGCAGACTTCCCCGGCGACCGGGAGCTCGAGCGGCGATGCTGCGAAAGCATGCGAAAGCATGCGAAAGCGTGGTGCGCTGCCATAGCAAGCCAGCCGGACCAGCGCGCGGCCACGCTGTCCGTGCGATCCGTGCGGTCGTGCGGACGGCGAGCGTGGTCTGTGTGCCGTGGGGGCTGACGGAACGAAAGCGGCGGCCTCACTTTCATTGTGTCGCCGAGATAGCTCATTGCCGAGGACAACGAGACGCCAGCCTACGGCACCAGTGCATAGGTATGTGGCGCTGAGCGGAAATGACGCAGGCTTCATGGGTTCGTGTGGGCGACGTCACGAGGGCCGAATCGAGGACCAGCTGGGGGTCGTGCCAGAGTGGAGGGTTACTGTTGAGTTGTGGGCTCTGAGTATGAGACCCTGCATGCGCCTTGAGGCCGGAATGACAGAACACCCTTGGCACACACGGAGTGTGCTAACAGAGCATCGACCACGATAAGGTTCGGTCCGGCCGTCGCATATCGACAGCCACATGCGCAGAAATCAAACCAGTTTCCAGAGGACCATGTAAGCTACGGTTGTCCTATGTTGCCATATCCAGTGCGACACGCTCTTGCCGTTCCAACACCATTGTCATGAGGCGTCGATCGTGGTAGCTCCGTTCTTCGTTTTTCATGTTCCTCGTCGGACGCCGCACGCGTACCGTGATCCAGCATGAGGCGGCTTCGCATTTGTCTGGGCTGCACACGTCAAAGCGCCGAGCTCGAGCAGAGCCGAGAGCTGCACGACTCGGAACCTGTCTCGTGCTAAAGCTCACTGAGCTCACCGGCAGAGTGCACATGCAGTATCTTCGCTTCCTGCATGACAGGCTTGATGACATCAGCCAGGAAAGGTGTCACCTGAACCGGTCCACACTTCTAGCGACAAGGGGATGTATTCGTGCTGTCCATTGGAAGAACAGGGACTCGTGGACAGATGCTACTGATGCTTGTCGCAAATGGCAAACCGACCTGGTTCATGTCCATGGCTCGCAGCGTCAACAGCGAAGTAGCTGAGTGGTGCACATGCCTTGCTTCTGTGCATGTAACCTGCCACTACGTCTTCGCGACCGGGTCATGTTCCTATTTTTGGCTGCAAAGCTTCGAGACTAATACATCCACAACCCATGTTTCTTCGGCTGACATCGTCGAAAAAGCCGTAGTGGCAAGATGTGGCAAGCATCTGTCCACTACATGGGATCTGACTCTGTCTCTTGGCCCTGGCAATGCTGGAAATTACAGGCGTTGCCATATTGAGTGCATGTCTGACCGAACGGTCTGTCTGCTTGCAGGCGGTCCACTCAATCAGCGTAGCCAGTGGTGGCTGAGGAGGTCTTCGGTTGGTCGTCTGAACCGTTTGACAAAGCGGCAGACGCTGGAAACTGTTTTGAATGCAGTCGCCTTTCACAGAAAGTTCGAGCGAGCTCCCCGAATTAGCAGCAACTACAGTTTCAACACCCTGTTGCCATCCTGGACTCTATGCATGCTTCGTCTGGCAACCGTCGTGACCTGATTAAGAAACTGAGAAACTCCTTACTTGCGGTGAAGCCCAGCTGCAAGGGATGAGATGCTCCAGCCCCGAACCTTGCTCTGGTGACACTGTCCGACAACTGCAACGGCCGCAGTGGGCTACAGCTGCTGTGGCCCAGCAAAGCTGGCAAGACTGTCACTCTGACTCGCACAAGTCGTTCTTGCTCTTCTTCTTGCCTGCACAGTGACTGCTATTCCCGGCAATCTTTGACTGGTAAGTCCACTTCAGTCCAAATTGAACATGGGAAATGAAAGCCGGCTGCGATATAAGCATAACAGGACCAAGACCTCCCAGTCACCCGACCTTTCAGCTTGTCCTTTTTCTTTTCCTTTTTCTTTTTTTTCTTGTCCTGCACCGAGTGCTGTTTTGATGTGCTGTAGTGTAAGCTTCCGAGTTTTACACCGTCACTCGAGTCACGAGAGGAAGACAGGTCGAGTGGGCAGGGACAGGGAAGCCAAAACAGGCAGAGCATCTTGATGCAGTCTGTCCTTGACACGCTTTTTCATTTTGGACACTTCTTCCTGCGGCACGGATCTGGAGGCTCAATGGGCGCAATGCCATGACTGCACGGACTGAACCTCGACCACGGAGAGTCCAGAGATTTGCAGAACCGCTTAGCCATTGAATGTTGAACGCAGCACGGCAAAGCAGACACCCTGCTGCAGATTGAGTTTCCCCCCTGACGTCCTGGATCCGTCTTCTTTCCTAGCACAGGGCTGCGCTGGGTTGTGTCGAAGCCTCGATCTACTGTCCCTCCCTTTGCCCGCGCTCCGCCTTGCCTGGTCCTGCTGGAACTTCGCGAGCTTGGCCTGGAAGAGCATATCATATCAAAAGGTAGCATCGCCCCCCTAGACGCCTTAGCACCAGGTGTTCGAAAATGCACGTGCACAACATATGAGTCTAACCATGATTGACACCGCAAACGGCATGCAGATAACAACAACGCTGGCCAAACTCAAATGTCTACTAGGCTTGTTTACGTATTTCGAAGAACTTCGCAAACTTACTATTTTACTAGGGCCATTAGGGAGTCAGTAGCTGACAAGCAGCTGCAGAAGCAGTATCGAGGGAAATGCTCTAATCCGAGAAGTCTGCGCATGAGTAGGTCAAGCGGGCTGGCGGGCTCGAAATTGCTAGAAAGTCCTTGAACAATTGTTTGGCGTATTCACCCGTTTTTGGTCGCGGGTGTAGTCGTAAATGCGAGCAGGGAAAATGACTGCTATCACCGCATCATCAACGACCTTGCACTGTCCGACGGTGTGGCAACTCGACCTTCAACGAAGATGGGCCCACAGGCCTTAAACCTGTCCGCGGCTTCGGCCTCCTTCTCCTGCAGCTGGGCATCGTGCTCTTCAGGCGGGTTGAATTTCGGCACAGCTCACGGTTCGAAGCGCATTTCCTTTACAGTGCACCACGCCTTCGCATACCGATCAGCCCTGCGCGCTTAGTGCCCGGATGCACATGCCACTGCAGCCTAGCTGCCTGCCCTGTTTGTGTTCGGGGACGGCAACTACAGCTTGTGTAGCCCCATCAGATCCTACCATGCCTGAAACACGTATCGACCAGCGGCCAGTAATGCAGCTCAGGCGCCTCGAAGGACTTTCGCTTCTTCAGCTCCGGCTTCTTGGAAGCTGGAATGGGCCAGGAAGAGTTGCTGGTTCTGATCGATGGCTGGACCTCCTTCTTCGCATTTTGTTAATGGGAGGCCCCTCTTGAAGCTCAGGGCTTGAAGGCCGTAAGATCTTTTGGCGGTCGCAGCAGAGCCCACAATTATGCGAAGCCATCCAAAACGGTGTCAGCTACTTTGCATTCCAATTCCAAGCCTTGCACTGGCAGACCCGGCCTGTCTTCGCTTCTGCTGGATCCTCTTTCCTCGGCACAAGCAGAGCCTGCAGGCGCGCGGTGATGGAACTTGCCTTGAAGGTCCAGCACTTGGGGCGATGTTCTGACGTTTACACGATAATCAAGTGAAACAGATTCAATCTGTGGCAGCTGCACCTTCTTCGCGGGCGCCGCGGTGTCTGAGTCTTCCTCGGACCTTAAAGTCTCCAGCACACTGGCACAGCAGGCGCATCAACCGAGACTCTGTTGCTGAACCTGAACAACACCAGATTGCGGAGCTAAGAGTTGGACGAGGCGCTCTCAGAGCTTTCGGAGCCTTCCGAGGGGCTTCCTGCCGGGGAAAACTAGACTCATTCAGCCCGATTGCGAGGAGCGGCTGGCAGTTTTGCCACGGCCCCTACCATCCTTGGGCCTAGACTCTAGACTTGCAGGGGAGATCCACGAAACCCCACGGTTCGCTCGCAGACGGAGCACTTCTGACGGCCTGGAAATTTTGGGGAACTGCCGGTCCTACCGCTGCTTCCAGCTTCGTCGGCGCTACAGGCCCAGCGCAGCGCACGCAGCGCTGCCGGCCGGAAGCAACCTGGGGGCGCATCGCTCCGGGTAATTCGGGGTACTCGGCGCTTCGCTCTGTACCGTGGACACCGATGAGATTACATGCGGGGGATATCAGATAACAGTGGCCTGGGCGAGAAAATAACGTCCTTGTCAGTAGTTGTAAGCGAACTGTGGGCGTCTGACCTTTCGATTAGCAACTGTGGGAGCGCCCTGTCGTGAAGAGGAGCCAGCCTCACAGCAAAACCCACTGACGCTGCGAACGAAGCTGCCACTTCTGTCTCCAGCGGTCGCGAGCACTCGCCGCATCTCGCCACCTTCAGCAAGGTAGGATGGCGATTTGAACTTAGAGGTGTCGACACACTCACGGAGCACAAGACGCAGGAGTCCAGAGCATATGCGGCCTTTCTTGCGCCATTGCCCAGCAACAAGTTTGCCTGACACATGTCGCCATGTCCGTGATACAATGTGGGTGTCTAACGGATCTAACGGCCTCGCCTACGACAGGTCTGGTAAGTGCACGATGTTCGGATTATGTTCGGGGAACAGCCCGCTGGGGACTGCCCATGGTGTGACGGCACTACAATGGCAGTCGGACGTCGGTTCTGTGTCCACACCACATTCCTATGCCTCCGTCTTCATTTGAGGGCGTAGTTGCATATCAGTGGATCGGTCTGGGGAACCTATTTGTCGTGCAGCTTCGCTAGAACATCATGGTCTCCCTGTTGCGGATGCTGCAGACCCTACAAACCCCAGGCCCTAAACCCCAAAACCGTGAAGCCCCAAAAACTGAAGAGAAGCGTAGAACTTGAATGATATAGAACTCATGCAAGCACAGTCAGCACAATGCGGCCCAATATGTGACACACCGGTTATACTGTTATACTGTGACAATCACTCACACATTCGTACATAAGTACAGATGGAACCCCCCAAAACCACACCCAAGCTGCTCATGTACTACATCCACCGGAAGTTCTACCATCCGGCTGTGTTCGGGATTTGCGGCATTACTCGAAGTTTGCCTCAAATCCACTGACTTGCAACATGTTTGTAATATTGAAACAACAGTCAACATGCAATCTTTCCACATGCTCAAGAACACTGCACAAATATTCAATTCTTTGGAGTTTCCAAAATCTCTAGAGAATTCCGAAATGTCCGAAAAGTTTCAAACATTTCAATTGTCCCCCGATACATAATCTGCCTACGTCTAACGATATAGATGCTGACTTTTGGAAAGTGTCAACATGTCTTAAATTTGAACATTTTGGGAACTTGGGGAACTCTTAAAACTGCTTGGAGTTTGTGCAATTTTGTGTTTTGCAGTCTTTGGATTTTTGGGATGCTTTGGAAATTCTCGAGCTTCTGGGGTTCAGAATTTTTGGAAAATGGAGAAGTCTGCCGATTAGTACAAAGCTTGGTGCGAGATCTTTAGGAAGTTTCAAAAATTTCAGAAACCCATGAACTTTTCGTTATATCTCTTGTAACAGTAGGACATGGCCAGCATGCTTTTGCGCATTGTGTACAAGTTTACAAGAGATTTGAGGGACTTGGACGCTCTGGTTCCCATGACATAAACGATACAGACAGTACATGGCATGGCTCAAAAATACTCATCCAATTACTGTTTATTTATTACATTTTACTACTATCCACTCAGAAAGCATTACAATAAATACGCTTTCCAATCTTGCAGGTTCATGTATACAGTGTTTCCTGGGTTTAAACTGCACTTTACATACGCCCCAATTAACGAAACCTGCAGTACCCAAATAACATTCGCAAGCATTCAATACTCAGCTCATATCTTTATCTACGACGTTATCCATATGAAATGCTTTTGATTGTTTTTGGGCCAACGTATCAGCACCACCCACTCAATATTTGGACGGTGTCTTTGCATATATAACACAGTGGATAATATGTGAAGGAAACACAGCTACATGGACCATTTTCGGCACTCGAAAACCTTAAACCGAGCAGCACTCGGGGGGCAACGACTCGGAGTGTTCTTCTGGAGGTCGCGAGCTAGGAGGGGAAGCATAAGTCTCGTGCTTCCGAAACTCGCCAGCATGGGAGAGTACTTTCGCGATGTTTCTGCAGCCGCCAATGTTTGGGGGCAAGCGATTCCGCCGTGCTTTCCCATAAATTTGGGGGAGGGCATTCGGGGATTGCTGCTCGAGGCGCCCGCTATTTGCGGGAAAGCATTTAATCATCTGGTGGTCTCCTGGTGTTCTCTTGGTGGTCCCCTGGAATGGTGGTAATCTTTTGGTGGTCTCATGGTGGTCTCTTGGGTGTCTTCGTGTCTCCAGGTGATCTATTAGCGGTCGCCAGGTGGGCTCTTGATGGTCTCGATGGTCTCTGGTGGTCTCCTCGGTGATCTTCCGGCAAGGTTGCGGGAGCAGCGGACGCTCCAAACTCGTCTTTTCGAGTAGTGGTACACGGAGTGCTTCGCCAGGGCTTCTGGAGCTTTGGCGCCTCCAAACTGGTCTCTTCGAATACAAATTTAGTATGCTCGCTCTGCTTAGGAAAATACAGATCGCAAGTAGTTGCCATCTGAGCCGTCAGTGTTTTGCCACAGTACCACGAGCATAGTTATCACCCACCGGGCCGTGGATGCCGGTGGTTCGCTATCAGCTCACAGCTAGTTGCCATCTGTGTTTTTCTAGCATTTATGCCGCTTGTTGGAAACATTCCGCCCACGACATTCGTACTCATGCACTCCAGGCTTATTCGCGGGAAGCACTCCGCATGCTATATTTGTAGTCGAACAGTCGAACACACCGGTTCGGAGAGCCCAAAGCTCCAGGAGCTTTGGGTGGGTGCTGACTCTGCTCCTCTTATACTATGACACAGATTGCCCGCAGGCGGGGTGGAGGGAGCTTGAAATGTGCATGCCCCTGCAGTGCCCTTATGTAGGAAGGACATAAGCGAAACTCCTTTGAAACCTTCGTGCGCGAGCAGGGCTCTGGTTTCTCCAAGCTACTGTTGATCAAGCGTTCCGTCATGCACCACCGTAGCAAGTTTCAGGGTTTCCCCACAACCGCTTTTTCACGAAACCTGTCACAATCCTGTGTTTCAAGCAATATTTCAGACATGCAGTCCACAAGGCAATATGCATGCGCGTGACCTACACTTTCACTTTTGCAGAAAGAAAAGTGTTCAGCATCCCACGGGTTGCTGATTTCTTGAAGGGCTGCTGTCCGTTCTCTCTGCCGACTTCATTTCTTTTCTGCTCAGCGCCAAGAAACAACATGCCCTTGCCAGGACCTGTCGACTTTAGCTTCACTAAGCGAAACTTACAACCTTTCTTACGCAACTCCACCGGTAACATGGGCTCGATAACGAAGACGGCTCGGACCAGTCTTTGCAAACATGTACACTGTATGGCTCTGCGCAGTGCTGGATAAAACTTTTCTGATTGGCTCGTGCATATGAAGCAGATGTAGAGACGGCTGGGCTTTGGGCTTTGGAAACCACTTAATACATCAATACCAAGAGCCAGCTTGAAACTTAAGTTAAGATCTACTCTCGCGCAGCCATGCCGAACTTCCTGTAGTCGTTTCATATCAAGCTTTCCTCGAGGACCTGCGAAATCCAGATTTCAGCCATTAAAATATTAAAAGATATCCCTGTACACCTTGTATGGCACTTGCCTGCTCAGAGAGGTCTTCGGAAGGCAAGCCCAGGGCGTCAGCCTGGCCGTAGCGAGGGTTTCTGCATCCTAAGCGAGAGCTTGGCTCTTGGCCTCTCTGGCTTTGCTTAGGCCAGGCTCTGACTTACGAGAGCGCAAGCGTAGTCCACGAGGCAAGTGCGGGTGGAGAACCTCCCGGCGCTCGCGCAGACGCTTCACCGCCTGGCAGAGCATGCTTCGGGATTTTGGTCAGCCTTAAGGGCATCTCAAGTCTTTCTTCAGCCTCCTTATCCAATCCGCGACCGGGCCGGTACGCCATCAGTCACAGGAGTCTTTAAGACGTCTCTGCATGTCCGTTTCATGTGGTTCGACTATCACTGGCTCCTGCAGCGCTGGCTGAAAGTTACCGAAAAAGACAAAGAAGCCATATTGCAAGGGTCCGCTTGCTCCAACAGCGTCCAGCTATTCTACCGGGATCCCACGCATTCAGCTACAGTATTAGATGGTGATGAGCTGCCTGTATTGGTTTAGATAGCCTCCTGCTCGGCTTGGTTTCTTGGAATCTGGGCCCTAGAAACGGTACTGCTGACAACTAACTGGGCCACACACGGCTGCGGCGGGCAGGAGCTTGCTTGGGTGGAGGACAGGCCCGCCCATTGTAACTGGAGTCCAAAGATCACAGCATCCGCGTCGTCGTTGCAGCAGTCTGACTGACTCCGATCCCGTAAAGCCGGAGAAGCCTCGTAATAGTTTGAGAAGCCTCGTCCTCAGCTCCCTGCTCTCCACTTCAACTTCTGCAACCCGGACTCAGTCTAGCAGCTGCCGTCGACAAGACCATGATCCACATACCATTCTCACAGGGACCTGCTCAATCACAACACTGCCGACGAGCTTTTTGTAAGCAATGCGTCAAGCATCTCGCCTCGGAAGACTCCTGCGAGGGTGAGTGCACAGCAGAGTCCGTGCACCGAGCCGAAACCTTCTGGCCTCGGCGATTTCTCCAGACGCTTGAAGCGGTTACCAGACCTCGCGATGACTCCGACTAACCTTCACGCACAACACACCCCTTCGCCCGGGAATGCCACAACTCGCCTCACTGCTATCCGAAAATCCAGGCATGAAGTTCGGGAGCTTGAGTCCGGGATCCCAGTGCGATGCTGGCTTGGTGGTGCTCACATCTCGAACAAGCGTTGGAGATGCCGGCGCACCGACACTGCAGATGCAATCCTACATACTGAACGGTGCCAGTCCTTCAGGCACTTGTTGAAGAGCCGAGAGCCTTTCACGGAGCTGCATGGAGTGGTCATGAGCGTCTTCGATGTCATGTGCAACACAACGCTGCCGAGACCAAGTAAGTTGCTTGAGCTGCCGAGTATCATCTGTCATTCGGGACGCAGTTTTCTGACCAATTTTGGCAAAAGCACATCCGGTACTGCTGTGTGGACACTGCGGGCATTTGCGCCAGGGTGGCCAGCTGCTAATTCGAGGCAGACAGTGTGGATGTGAGGCCGCAAAGGACCACACGAACATAAGGATCCTGCGTTTGGAAATATGCCGACACCGACAGGGTGAATTTTGAAAACCTTGTTTGTCGGATCCTTATGCCTGTGTGGTTTTTTGGGCCTTGAGGTCGTCGGGTTGCTTATACTGAGTTATACTTGTCTTGCTAGACTACACCCACGTCGGCCCACCGCGTTATTGACATTGCGCTGTCCAAGATAGCAGGTGAGGGCAAGGGCCAAAAAGACGTTAAACTGCGGTAAGGCGTGCAACCGTCTCCAGTGAAAACATGCTCGTCTGCCTGCCTGCATCGCTTGCGATAGTACAACAACTACGGCAAGGATGCCCACTCTATGCATGCAGACAGCGAGACAACTGTGGAGAACAGCGATCGCATATTGGAAACGCGTCGGTAGTGGCGTCATTGAAAGTGTGGACAGGATGTGAAGACATCCTTGACCGTCACTTCTCAGTCGTAAGGTGGGTAGTCATCTTCTGTGGCACCTGAAGTCGTAGTTGTACACCGATGCAGATTGACTGTGCGCAGCCTCTCAGTATACAGGATGGTACAGGATACAACTTGCTGGCACGGCTGGACATGCGGTGCCCACGGACTGAAAGTAGACGTAGCAGGATACCACGTGACACATCATGACACGAGCTGTGAACCGTCGCACTGCTAAAGCAGATCCCGGCTGCATAAAACCAACGAACTGCAGTAAGGCCTTGGATCAAATCCCGACACAGCACGGAAGTCGAGACTTCACCAAGGCTCGGATGAGCAGCAGCTCGCGTGGTCGCCGCATGCTAATCACTACCTGAGGCATGTTGTCATGAAATTCCACGATGTCAAGTAAATTATGTCTGGGCACTTAATGACTTCACGAGTTGCATGACGTCACCGCTTTCCGTGCATATATGATGTTGTGACGACGAAACAGTCGGCCTGCTTCGTGGCTTTAGTACTTAACCTTTTCAACCTTATCCCTGCATCAGCCTTTACTTCGCGCTCTGTAAACTTGCTTCGAGCCGCCAAGGTAGCCGCCACAGCAGCGAGGGATGCAGCCAAAAGGGCGGCAAGAAGCACGGGTGTGGAAACGCCACGCTGCCTCGGCTGAAGGACCCATTGCACAAGACAGGTCCTGCTTACCCGAAAAACCGAAACAGGCCATTCCATACCAAATCGTTCATACGAGGGCCTTGGACAGCAGGGACAAACACCTTCGATTCTTTGATGAGCTGCAGAGACAGAGCACCGCAAAACTGTTAGGGACACTGTCGTGGAAGACATGGTCCCTCATAACGAAAACTCGATAACAGGGTTCAGAACGCGGTGCCCGAGCCCCTAAAACCAGCAAGATCAGCAAGCTCGAACCTGCAGAAAGAGCTATCGGAGATCTGTGCAGGCGGAGACTCATCTGTGCCCTTCTCAGGCTCTTGAGCTCGAAGGCCTGGCCAGGGCATACGGTGGAGGTCTGAGCATGGTGTCTTGCACGTGCTGGATGAGAGCAGCCAGAACCGAATTTAGCACCGCGGTGGCAAGGCCGCAGTTAGAGCATCTGTCGGATAGCGCGATCAATTGGGTGAGCAAAGGCGGTTGGAGCGTTGCCTCCCTGCATGTAGGCGTGGCATTGTGGCTCAGCGATGCACGACATGCACGTGGCAACTGGCACTCAAACAGGCTGAATGTGTGGCGGCTCTGAGTCCCCGCGACGTGCCGACATCTTACCTCATTCAAACCTTCCCCATCCCTCTACAAGACATTCCTGCAACTGCAAACGGCGCACTGAGCCTCTGCCCTACCCTCTGCCGAGCCTTCGAGGCATCGTCTGTTGATGCCACCTCCGCCTTCTCGTTCTCTGCCTTCTTTGCCGCCTTCTTGGCGGCCTCTTCCGCCGCCTTTGCTGCCTTTTCTGCCGCTTTCTCTTGTCTCTCGTACACGGCCTGGAAGCGTCGGGCGCGCGCTAGCATGCGCCAGGAACGGACGGTCGAAGCAAGACTTTCTGCGCAGATCCACCCAGCGGCCCTGCACGCCTTTCCACAAAGCCTCGCGGCTTCATCCTGCAAGTCGAGGCCGCGAATTCCTGCCTGGCCGAATCTGCGAGTCTCATCGCAAAAATTCATCCAACAGTGCCCGATGCACCCGACAAACCTAAAGCTCTGAAGCTTGAACCGTAACAAACCCACATCGCTCCCAAACATCCCAAACGCCCAAAGCTTCTCATCACGTCCGAGGCCTCGGATTCGCAGCCATAGTTTGCACCCATCATGGACACCTCGACACTGTCGGGCAAAATGCTGCATCGGGCATCAATGTGTGCTATGGTCTGCAGCTGCGCAACGTAAGCCACCGCGGCACCCAGGCCGTGGAAGCCTCGGTTCTGCTCGGTGTGCTCTCAACTTCTCTGCCCTAGTTCTAGTTCAGGCCAAGATGCCATGCTCATCCCCCAGCTTGTTTTGCATCTCTTTCCTTGTGCTTGGAAGTGTCGCTCGCGCGGGGGGAAGGGGGGCAAGGGGCTTGCCAGATTCATGGAGTCGGCGGAAGCGTAGAGAGATGGTGAAAGCGAATAGACCCGTCTTGAGCCTTTGTTTAGCTCAGGTGCTTGATGGCTTCGCTGAGCTGGCTGACGCAGCCCTCATCTTCCTCGAATGGTGCGATTCGCTGCTCCTGAGCTCATGCACTAGCTGTTTCGACCTTCGGCGTGGCCGCGGCCCTTCCGTTCAACCTGTCACCCATTCCGAAGCTCTCGGCACCATTCTACCTGCACCCCGTGACACGTGATCAGATCCTAGGTTTGTGTCAGTGCGGACATAGGACAAAGCAACAGGCTCTGCTATGGGTTCTTGCCTGCACATGCCTGCACATGCCCGCTCGCTTGCTCAATCGTATGGACAAGGTCCGGTTAAATCGTTGTCCATGTGAAGCCCTTGAACGGGGGGGGGCATGTCCTGAACGTCCTTCTGGAGCTTCACGGTTGCCTCTCCCGCGGCCTCCACGAGCTTGTCGCAGGATTCGCTCCTCGGCGACGGCAGATGGCACACCGCGGATGAGCTGTCTTGACGCGAAAGAAGCCTCAAGCATTTAAAGTAGGGTGCACGCGCTGCGCTTCATGTGTGTACGACAACGCGTTCCGGCCTGAACAACCCTTGATCAAACGCTCAGAGCTTGAAATCCAAGACTTTGGCACCAGGTGCTCGAAGTGTTTAAAGTCCTGTCCTGTTGGAGTGTGTGAGGCCTTTGAACTTTCGTAGTTTACGTATATTGCCTTCAAGATGTTGGAGGTCTGTCACTGTAGAGTCTTGGCAGTGGCAGGCTGAAATTATGGCATCCGGTCGGGTGCGGGGTGCGGTGGTATCGGTGGTTGTGCGAGAACATGTAGCAGCAAGCTCAGACTTGCAACGCTGAGACTGCCATTGAATCGGGTCTCAGCAGCTTCAGTTATGCAGAATGGTGCTCTGTCACTGTCACCACTTCAGAACGACATTGCATTTCAGAAACTTGCACCGAAACAAGGCACATCGTCATTTAAGTCAAACCACATGTCGCCGCCATGCCAGCGGCCCATCCCAAATCCAGAATCCGAAAGCTCACCTGACCTGTCTTTCGGTTGTTTCTGCGGCCCAGTCACAACTTGCCGTGGAATGCATCAATCGCCTGCTGGTGGCTCTGGGGCTGCTCAAGCAGGCTCTGAAGGCTTTGCGTTCCGAAGCTGCGGCCCGGTGCCCCACGAAATGCACGAATGTGCACGAACCGAACGCAAGGCTTCGGCTGCATCCGTTACATGCTCGGCTTGACTTTGTTTCGAAATTGTGGGCAGGAGCAGATCTGCTGTCCTCGGGAAGTAAGCGACGTAAGACGTGTCGACATGTGCTTGCAAGGCTGAAACCGACGGTGTGCACAGAGGCTTCTCAGTTCAGGCCTGTTGCTCCCAGGACTGCTCGTCCTGTCGGAGGCTTCAGGGCCCGCAAGGGAGAACACGAAAGGGGGCATGTAGTCAAGTGCGGTTACGAGATTATCACGACTGCATCAAGGTCGAGAGCAATGCAAAAGTGCACGCTGGAGCAAGGTGTCGTCAGCGCGATTCCACCCTCGGCGGCTACTTACTAGTACTTACTCTGAATATCCACTAACCCATCGAAACGGCTCAGCTGCTCGTTCTGCGCTTCTGGAGCAGGTTATGACCATTGGAAGAGTCAACAGTGCCTTCCTGAAGCTCCATCTGCCCGGGCCTGGGCAAAGGCCTGGAGTTTGCCCATCATCTTGTTCACGGCGTTCTTCGTGGCTGAGCTGTTTGTAGTCATCGCCTTTCAGACATGCAAGACCAGGGCCCGAGGACACGTCAAATTTCTGGCCGGCCACTGGGCCGGTTCCGGCCTGCAGCATGTTCTCCTCAAGCTTCTCAGGATCGAGCTGCGCGGTGATCTGGTCAAACACTCCATAGTCAAACCTGCAGCCGAGCGCTGGCTCTCGACAGCTGGAAGCCTTCCTGTGAAAAACATTCTCCAAGCAGCTGTTGCGACAGCTTCGTGCCGCTCTGGACTTCCTCAATTGAGCGGAAGCGGAGGCTCTGCGAGGCTCTGCGCTGAAAAAGCCAGTGCCGTCAAGAGGCGGCCGGGCCTGTTGCGGCTGCAAGTGCCAGCCCGGTGGAAAAGATGGCTCGTAGCATCGAGCCTGGGCTCAAGAGCGGCCCTAGCACAGCTAGTCAGCCTCGGAAATTTGTACCGTGTACCAACCCCCCTGCCGGGAGCTGAGACAGGTGTTCAAACGCATCGTATTCTAGCATGGCAATGTGAAAGCTAAAGCTGAAGCGGCTCACGCTCTAAGATGCTGCAACAGCTGACTCTCCTTTTCGAGAGTGAGTACCGGATCTTCCTGCAAAGCTGCTGAAGGACGCACCCGGTGGGTCACCGGGTCACCCCTCCGATACTGTGAACCAAACGGCAGCGAAGCGCTGTCTCTGCCTCCCTCCTTCTCAATGCAGCCCCTCACTCTCTGGTTTCAACGACAGCCCAACTCCTTTTGATTCAAAGAGCGGCTGCTACGAGCAGTTCTGCAATCTACAAAGCTTACTGCCAAGCCCGAAGAAGAAACCTTGCCGCACCAGACGCTCGTAAGTCAGAAGGTGCTCTCAAAACTACCTCGACCATCCCGGAAGCAAGGTCTCTTCAACCCACATCAAGCTCAGGGCGAGGTGCCTCAGCGCCCCGAAGTAGCTTTGCAAGAAGTCTGAGCCAGGGTTATCCGAGGTACGCAGGCGCGAATTCCGAGTTAAGAGAGACGAAGACATGTCGGCGTTCGTTTGTTGCTTACTGGACATGCATATATCAGTTCTGAAAGTGGCACCGTGTCAACGAGTCTGACGCACGAAAAGCACTGACGTTGCACCTCAAGTACCAGACGTCCTTCTCCAGGCACTCGTCGATCCTGACATCCGAACAGAATGGGGCTACAGGCCTGGAGTGTAACCAACTTCTAAGGAACCGCTGCCTCTGGCACATCCAAGATACAGACCGACATGCAGTCCTACAAAAGGACCTTCGGCCCATTCGGCCGCAAGCCAGCTCCCGTCGCTTTACTCCGCAGCTTGGCTTCGATCGCGTTCGTCATCTGTTGCTGAAGGTTGTCTCATCTCAGAAGATCAACTAATCCAGCATCTCAGCTTCGCTCGGCTGTCCCTCCCTTCCGCTCTGTCGGTCTATCGCCCTCACTTTCCGAGCGTAGAACTGGCCAGCGAGTCGCAGGTCAAGGAAAGCCCGGAGAGTCAAAGAGCCGACGACGGCGGAAAGAAACGAAGGATTTACTGAAGCAACTGGATTCCGCAAGGAAGAACCCTCCGATTGCGCCTCCTGATCTCCCAGGTCGAGATCGTGGGCAATCGAGAGACCTGTTGGATAAGTCGCGATCATAGGGACAGCTCAGGCTGCTCAGGGCCCACCCTGCACCTTCTTGGCAGCCCGAAGGATATTTGCCACCTTTCAGGCTTTCAAGCTTTGGCAGGACAAGCAAAAAAACACAAAACGGGCTTCCTTGGAGAAAACCAGCTTCGTAGATACTGACAGAGGAGACGCAAGACGAAGGTCGCTTAGTTCCACTCGGCTTGGTTATGCCTACAGCGTTGGTGCGAGTGTTTCGAGTGCATCAACCGAGCTTCCTTTCTGAATTCGTCGAAGTGTACGCCTCTAAGACCCACGGCCGGATGGCTCCAGAGGAAGTCTGAAGAGGGAGAGACATCACCGGCGGGCTGCAGGAGCCAAAATGCTCTCGCTGAGGCGAGCACACGCGGCCGAACGGTGGACCACCGGTTTCGAAGGTCCTACCGCAAGTTCTCTGCTGTAGCTACAAGTCTGAGTGTCGAGAATGGCAAACTGCTCGAGCTCTCCTCTGCATCCACGTGGATGAAGTACCAGGCCTTGGGGTACGGTGCAGCTTGCCAAGCGCCTCATGCATGTCTCAGCGACCCTGAAAACGACCGTGCGATTGCCTCCAAAGAAGAAGACACAGACATACCGGTACAAAGACTGCACACATGGTATTGTGGTCTCATGTGGTCTATGGAACAGTCATCGTCTAGACCATTGACTCTGCGGGGAATGGCAAACGTATTTGCATCTCAACCTCCGACACTTGTTCTGCCGCAGTTTCGGATGGCAGCCCGTGAAGCCTGAATCGAAACTGCAGACCTCGAACTTGACGATCTTGATGCAGTTCAACAAGAAGTCGTCTGGGGCTCGCACGTACGCTTCCTCGAAATAGCTGTCCAAATCCGCCAGCTGAAACTTCTCGAACTGTCGCATGTACCTCGTCGCTCGACAGCAAGACATGGACCAACCTGAATCACTTAGCGAAGGACATGTAAAGCCTACAGTGCAAACAACCGTTGTGAAAACACTGAAAAGTCGAGAGGCTTGTATAAGAAACGGACGAAACCTTTCAGTGTTGCCGTTCGCACCCTTGTCCAGTGCTCTATTCTATGGTTCTCCACCATCACATATATACAATGTCCCTCAACTAATCGTCTGAGAATTGATAAGCGTCGGGTGCGTCGGGCTACACGTGTAAGGACAGGACGGACAGCTTGTTGCGGTGGACTCTTCCTGAAACAGTGTGGCAACGCTAGTTCAATAGTCCGGTTCATGTCTCCGAGTTTTGCAACACAAAAGCAGTCTGGTAATGCGCTCATGGCAAGGCTGGCCCTCAAAGAGTTGTCCAGATATCTGGAGCAGTCCATCAGTGGTTCCGGAGTTGTCTCAGTGGTCCTACAGAGGTCTCGGTCTGTTTCAGGCAACAACGCAAAGAGGGATGAGGCACGGGTGGGTTCTGAGCAAAGCACCGGCTGGCAACGTGAGATCGCGCACACACTCGCAATGTCTACCCTCATGTCAGTAGTCAATGCAACATGCCGCATCGATTTGGCCAGAACCTTTGATGTCAGACGCCATCGACTTTGCGGTGACTTCGTGATCTTTCGCAGCACTGCGAGGCTTCAATAGCGGCACACTGCTACGGTACTGGCGCTGGCTACACAATGAAGGGCTGTCAAGCCAGATCATGGAATTGAAGCCTTTGAAACGACAACGAAAATCATGATCAGGCTATGGCACAGCGACGGAGAACTTCACAACTGCAAGTATATGCGGAAGCAATGACTAGAAACGAGTTGCCAGGTGGACACGGGGCAGACGAAAACTTGCCCGAAACAAGCCAGATAGTCCGTCGCACTCCAGGCTCGGTGCTTTCTTAGTGGGCTTTCTGCCCACTTTCTGGCACAATCGGACGCGGTGAGACCGACAAGCTGTGGCATTTTGGCATCCAGAACAAAAAAGATTGCCGTGTGAAGGTTGTTAAGTTGTTTTATCAATGCAGAAATGGCAACAAAGCGGAGAATGACTCCGACATCGATGGCAGTGAAACAATACAGGTAGCCGCGAAGCTCCAGCAAAGGTGCGGATGCAGGAGCTGACAAGCGCTCAAGCCACGCCTCTTTGTCAGAGAACCGAGACAACATCTTTCTCCGCATGGTCTGTGCCGATGTGGCTGTCGTAGGAGCGACTCATGCGCCGCTCCTCTCAGGGTGTACTGGGGGGTCTCCTATACATGCACTCCTGTATACATGCAGCTCAAGCAGCTATTACATCCACTTTTCTTGTTCATGCAGCTTGAGGGTGTGTAAATTGGTGGACAGTGAACTGCCCCAGTAGGGAGTACCGTACAAGGTAGCCAAGCAGCCTCGTGGCTTTCCCGAAAGCTGTTCCGACCGGAATCCATACCGGACCTGGCAGCTCTTTCACTTCGGAGCGCTGGGTTTCAGAACATGGGTCCAAGCAAACCCCTTGACCTTCTAGACGTGCGATGCCATGCAGCGATGCAAGCTGGCCTTCAGCAACTTATCCGTAATTTCTCGCGATGGCGGCGGGGTATGGATCGGGCAAGATGCAATTCCAAAGACATTCCTAGAAACAAAGGCCCTGAAAACACCTTTGCTCATGGACCTGGTTGCAGTGACCGGCAGGGGAATCCTCGAGTGGAGGCTCACCGTCCTTGCAACATCGGAGCTCTGTGTTGGCTCCGCAGGGCCCAGATTAAGGCGAGAGTTTTCTGCTCGATGACCCTGGTCGGCAACGGCCATTCCAATTCCAGGGAATCTGATTAATAACGGTCACAGTCTTGGCGTTCCGACGCGGAAGCACCACCATTCAAATTGCTGCGAAAATGAAGTCCCAACTCCCCGCCCTGCAGACGACCCTCGGTGAAGCGCCTGAGCCAGCCTCTATGCAACCCACCTGCAGCCTGCAACTACAAAGCACAAGTAGGAGCCCGATTTTCGTCTATCATCTGGACTCCCTCGCTGCTTAGTCTTCCGATAGTAGACTGAACGGAACTGTGGGTGCACACAGCAAAATGGCTCTCAAACCAAGACTGGTGGCGACTCTGCTCTGCCGGAGTACGCAGTGTCGTTTGCCTGCAGAATTGCCACATACCTTGGGTTTCGACTTGCAGGCAAGTGGAATGCGCTTTCGGAACTGAGCCTCAAAAATCTCCGTTATCCCGCCTGGCACCTGATTCTGCAGGTCTGACACCAGCGATTGACGTTGTTGGAGTGTGAAGCCAGCTAGTGACTTCAAGTCTTCGAGACAGCGCTTGGAGCCGAAGCACGAGTCAGCGCGGCTCTTCATGCGCTGCAGCTCATCCTTGCCTGACACGTGGGGTTCGCAGTGTCGATGTTCTCAGAAGCGCAGGGTAAGTTTTGAACCGAGTCGTTGTGCGTTAGCAAGTGGTCGACCTGCTGCGCAGTCCGGAGAGCAGAGACACCCCAGCGGGCATTGGTACAGGGGGAGCCAATTGCAACCTGCATGCAAGCCTGCACGCACAAGCATACAGAATGCAAAACACAGGCAGCTAACATGAGCGTGCGCCTCGCGGTCTCAGCATGTCTCACAACAACCAAATCTTTTATTCTTAATTCAAGAACCGCGCGAACACTGTCTGTGGAAATAACCTTCGGACAAGATCTGCTTGGAAACCCGACTTGAAGCCGAGAGGCTCATCTGGATGTCCGTAATATGCTCGCTGATACTGCTTCGCTCATCTCTGTTCTCGATCTCGCTGATCAAGAGTATACCTCGCAGCTATCAGTTCCGCTCCTCCGGCAAATATGAAGCGGCTGCACACTTCGAAGTGACAAGAACAGGTACGGTTGGAATTGACAAGAACAGATGTGAAGGTCCCCCAACGAAGCAACAGCCACTGGCGACCGAGGCTCCGAAAATCTGCAGATGAACCCAGAAAGCACCGCCGAATTTGCGCGCCAAGAGAGCAAACCTGAGCTGCATCGATCACGTCACGTCTCTGCAACTAAGACTGATTCTCAAAAAAAAAAAGCCACTGGTCCTAGAGTCTGAATAAAGAAACAAGCAGAGCAAGGCCAGGCGGGGCACTCGTCTGCATTCACTTTGCCGTAGTAGGAGGTTCCAGTGCTGGCAGTGAGCCGGCCGCGGTGTTGCCAATCGGCCCAGAGGCATGGCAGGCATAAGACGTCCTCGCTCTGGACTTCCTGGTTGCGAGTCAGGACGTGCGCCTGGTTTCGCGCGAAGTAGTGCATCAGGCCCGTTTCGATGACCAGGACGTGCTTGCAGTCGGTGCCGGGCATGAAGACGTCCTGCTGCTGCGTGCAAACTTCCTCAGAGATGCATGTGTGGCAAAGGTTGGAGTAGAAGTACTGGTGGTCCGGTGCAGAATCGGGCCAAAAGCCAAGGACGTTGACCATCGACATGTACATCTCCTCGTGCAGCTGCATTCTCAGCCGCTCCGGCATCCTGGCCAGAACCGGAACTTCACCTGAGTCGACTGCAGTCCATCATCTGGCTAGGTGATGGTGATATTACTGCAGCTGTATGGATACACTGCGAGGACACAGGCTCGAAGCGGCAATTCTGCAGAGTGACTCTCCTTCACACGCACTGACGCGAGACCATCTAACCGCAGAGCTTCCTCGACTTTGCCATATAGGCCCACCGAAAGATTCCTGAATCAAAGCGGGAAGGGATTGCAGTCGGTTGAGATGGGTTGACCACAAGCAAACAAAGACATGGGCATGCACTGTATAATCCCTTCTCCTAGCATTCAACACCCCGCATTAACTTTCTGTATACTTCGTAGTGACCGGACCAAATCAATCAACAGAAGAAGAACCTAAAGCGATATCAAGCCGTGTTCGGGACCGAAAGGCTGAAGAAGCTAGCCAGAGAGACGCTAGAAGCAGCAGAGGAAAACAGCAGAAGGCTAGAAGCAGAGGAGAGAAGAGCCGCAGCAGCCCGAGAAGCGACGGGAAAATGAAAGAAGCAAAGAGGAGGAAGGAGCAGCAACAGCAGGAGGCAAGACAAAGGAGCAGGAATTGATGGACAAGCTTGAAAGGCTGATGGAGAGGATGATGGAGGAGAAGGAAAAGGGCAATTATCGAAAGGTTGCAGCAGTAACTTGCAAGCAACAGAGGAAGCGAGGCAGGATCAACAAAAGGAGAAGAGACAGAGGACAAGGAAATCAACTTGCCCCACGACTAATGATGAGAACTTTTTTCCATCAGCCATGCCGCTGGACTCCCAAACAGCGTCTAATTGCTTGCACTGCTTACATCTGAGTGCTCAAGCTGAGGATCCGTTGGTTGAAGAAGCGGAACAGAGTCATCTGCGTCTTGTTGTTGTCGTCTCTTGCTTTCCGCAAAGAGCTCATTGTAGCCGTGATGGAAGTAATGAAGGACCTGACATTCAGGCCACTGCAGGTGGACCTTTGAATTCGAAAGCAGAACTGCTCGTGTCTGAAAGGCGGTGCCTTCTGTCCCGTTGCAACTGCACAGCAGAAATTGTAAAGCTCACCGACCTGTCAACACCGAATCTCCGAGAACATGCCGGCCCGACGAGAAGACCCCAATGGCCATGAGAATGACTAGGAGAGCGAACACGCGCTCCACCTTGGCTGTGACACTAGAGCCAAGAGAAGTCTTAGCAAATGCGAAGATTTGCAACAAGCCCGGAAGTCGACTCACTTTGAGCCTGAAAAGTTCTTGATACTTATTGAAGTGCTGCAAACTAGCAACTAGCCTCTAACACTACCATTCTGAAAAACAGCCTGCGCGCATATGAGGCTCGCTTCGCTTCGAACGCAAAAGCCCGGTCGTCTTTGGTCAAGACCCACCAGCCCCAAATATACACAAATGTGCATCTCGAGATGAATACCAAGTCTACGCCACCTTGCTCTTGCTTAATGACTCATATACCTCTGGGTTGCAAACAGCGACCTCACCTCCAACACGCACCCAAAAAATGCTTGCGGACCCTGCGCAAAACACGAACCTTTCACGGGCAAATGGCCGCATTGCTCGCAGCGATGTCCTGCGTGGCCGGTGTAAACTGGGTTAGCGCCTCAGCAGTCATGGCCAGGGGCGGTCGACTTGGTGCCGCAACAGCCTTTAGCCTTAAGTTGTCCCGACTTTCCAAGACCTGCTTCCCTAGCCTTGCAGACCGAATCAAGCTTCACATCGACAGCCGAGCCTGTGATGCAGGGAAGAGGGTGCAACCGTGACAATTTGGACAAGAGGAAACGGCGAAACATCCGACCCACATCAAGTCAGGATTCCCAGTGCATCGATGCAGCATAAGCCTGACGGCACTGAGGATACACTTGGTCTCTCAAAAGGCACTTCTGGATTGCAGATCCTGTAGCAGGCATCGCAAACACCTGAAACCAATGCTTCGGCATGCATCGCAATAAAAAGTCTGCCTCGCCGAAAGGGGCTGACTCCATTTCTGCTTGCGCAATCCAGTTCTTGCCATTCATGTCAAAGGTACCGATGCCTCGCTGTTCGACACTTAGGACGATGAAGGTACTTCGGAAGACCGCTTCGACCTAGTACTCTCTCGCATTGCCATGCCGTGTGAAGCACAGAGCCAAGCTGCCGTACCAGCAGCAAGCAATAACGTGATTGATCATCAGCATCATGACCAGCCCGACACAAATCTTCACGACCATGAACGCATGAGTCGAGAGAAAGCCTCAGCAGGCTTGTAATCCTACAACCCTACAAGATCACACAAGTCACGTGATTCGACACGCTGCAACGGCCACGGAGCCGGACCAATCCCAATGCCCCTAGCTGACATTCTGACAGCATTCGAAGCCTAGGCGCTGTTTGCTAGGATCATGAGCTCCTGCTGAAGCTTCGCCACGCGCAGAAGGCCTGGAAATGGGTGAGGGATCCAACACAAGCATAAGGCTACTTAAATCTGTATTGCGGAGATCGAAAGACAAAATGCAAAATCGTCATGTTAATTTCCGGGCATGCCGTGCAGGTCATTGGGATCATCAGGATCAAGAGACTGAAATCGGGATCAAGAACAAATGAACTCCAGATCTTAAGATTAAATCTTCTTGAATGAGTAGCAGCACGCGCACCGAAAACATGTCACATGGAACATCTGACCAGCAGTAGCAGTACTCGTCCGAATACTAGTAGTACGACTCCTACTAGTACGAGTACCACTCTACGAATGATAGAGGTAGTGGTGTTGGTTGTGGGCACAGTACGACAGCAGGATGCAGTTTTATACTATTACACTGTGACCTGAGCATGTCTTTGCAGCTGCCCATTGATACACCGGTATGCTGTACGGTGTGCTGATTAAAACTGGCAGTAGTAGTAGCCGACGGCGTCGTCGTAGCTAACGAAGCGGTTGTACTTGTCGTAGAAGTAGTAGTCGCAGTTGCAGTTGCAGTTGCAGTCGC